GGGGGGGGGGGGGTTTGGCAGGACAAGTGCACTTCTATTATTATCTGAAAAAAATATGAAATAGTTCTCAATAACTTCTAGCTAGGCGTGACTTCAGTCCTTTTAGTTCTTACTCTATTTCCTTCATCAATTTTTTTTTTACGGTCTGATTGGGTCAAATCTTCCTATTTATATGTATCTGGGAACACTAATGGTAATATATATGATCCTGAAAACTGGCCCGTTTGTGGTTTGTAAAATCCATGTGAACATTTAAATGAAATGTAAATATCTTTGAGTTCTCTTATGTGCTGTGATGGTTTGTTAGGTCTCAGTTTGTAACCTTTGAACTCTTTCTGTTTCGACTAAGGTGCAAGTGGCTTACATCTCACTAAACATGAAAACTTTCATGGTGGCTTAGATGCAATATCAGTTGGAGATGGGTTGTTCACAATCCTGACAACACTTAGTAAAAAAGCAACAACAGTTCAAGTGATGCTTCAGCCAATCCTTACCTACATGGCCTGTGGATATATGGGAAGACAGGTAAGCTCCCTGCTGTGCTTCAAGGAAATTATAGGTTAGCTGATTCTGTAATCAATAATAAGGTCAGAAAACTGAACTAGTGCTATGTAAAAGACTTGTTAACATTTTTACAACCTCACTCACTTGGGTGCTCAAGTTAGGAAGTCTTCCTCTGTTGCACTTGATAGAGGGAGAGAGAGTTTCTGTAAATTCTGACATTCCTGTAAATGCTCCTGAATAAAGGCTTTTGAAGGTGGATTGAATATTTTGTTATGTGCAGGTGGGAAACACATTTATTGTGTTCATATTGATGGGTATTTTCATGCACAGTATTTTTATTTCTCTTCAGCTTCCCAACCCATGAGTTTGAGGTTTTGCTTACCACAAAGACTTCTCCTATTTTTATTTCAGCTTCCCAACCCATGAGTTTGAGCTTTTGCTTACCACAAAGACTTCTGCTTCAGGAATTGAATTGAACCATGTGGAACATGGTGTTGCTATTTTGTGGCAGAGAGGTCAACTGTGGTGTCATTTCCTCTCTGGGAATTTTGCCTGTTCAGAGGGAGGGCTAAGCTGTCATGCTTTCTACCACACTAATTTTGTATGTTCAGCTTCCCAACCCATGAGTTTGAGCTTTTGCTTACCACAAAGACTTCTGCTTCAGGAATTGAATTGAACCATGTGGAACATGGTGTTGCTATTTTGTGGCAGAGAGGTCAACTGTGGTGTCATTTCCTCTCTGGGAATTTTGCCTGTTCAGAGGGAGGGCTAAGCTGTCATGCTTTCTACCACACTAATTTTGTATGAAACCATGTATTTTGTAACTGTTTTTCTTCTAGGGTTCTCTTGCCACTTGTCAGTTATCTGAGCCACTGCTCTGGTTCATTTTACGAGTCTTGGATACAAGTGAGGCACTGAAGGCTTTTCATGATATGGGTAAGAATGTCTTTTCTTTAGCTGCATCAAATGAAATGTTTCTTTTAGATTTTTTTTTTTTTTGCACTTAAAGAAGGAATGCATATGTGTCTGGAGAGGCCAATTTACTAAATACACCTTTGCTTGTGTAGAATCTACTTCATGCTTCTGAGCAGTATTGGTTTTTTCTCTCTACCCACATTACACACAGGTGGTGTTCAGCTTATCTGTAACAACATGGTAACAAGCACAAGAGCTATTGTTAACACAGCAAGAAGCATGGTTTCGACTATTATGAAGTTTCTTGATTCTGGTCCCACCAAAGCAACGGATAGCAGTTTGAAAGCTAGAGTGCTGGCTTCTGAGCCTGATAATGCAGAAGGAATTCACAATTTTGCACCTTTGGGTAAGTAATACTTCTTTGTCTTGGATTGATGCCCACTAGTCATTTGAATCGAGTTCTTAACAGTAAGTATTGCAATATTGTCAAATGTTGCTATACTATGAAATCTTCTAAACAGAGGAGTTGCTGCTGTTGCAAGGTGATGTTGAGGGAAGGTTAGTCTCCTTTAGAGGTAGAAATAATAATCCCCATGTCCTCATGTGTACAATGGAAAGAAGCAAAGGGAGTGATCTGTATTTGATGTAGTCAGGCATTAAGATGAGCCCCTTTCTCCTCCCCTAGGTCAGGGGATGCTGGGTTCTAGCCCACCACCTGCCATAGACACACTAAGACTCACTAAATTCACTTAAGGCACGTCAGGTTTGATGTAGCTATGACAGAAGCATAGCAAGACTGGATGATACAGAATGAGCCTGAGCTGGGTCAAACAGCTAAAGTAGCTGGAGCATAGGGCTGATATTGCTGAGGATGCTGTCACATCTACATCTCACTGCTCTAATGTTGCCTGCATGAGCTTCTTTTTAGAATTGCAGTGTTGTTCTGACATCAATACCATGGCTGCCAGGTAACCACAATGTGTTTTAAGATGTAGATGTACTCGTAATATCTTACAAAAGTTCCTTTCCATGAAGAGTGTCTTTATGTTTTCTGTTGCTACCCACCAGCCTAGTGTAGCTCATGAATATATTCATACAGTGTGTTTCACTGACAAGGGGGCAGAAAGAAAGGATTAATGTAAAAATTTCTGGAGAAGTTGTTGGACAAGAGAGAAATCCATTCAGTCCTGTCATTCAAATTTAAGCGTATCAAAAATAATGAAATCTAAAAAGAAAAATAAGTTTATTTGTCAGAATAGGAGCCGTTAGAAATCTTCTGCCTTGCTCTTTACAAATTTCTAAAAGATGAATATAAGAATCCTGCAAATGTTGGTTCTTTATTACTTTAAGCAGTAAAAATCCTAATCATATATAGCAGTAGGTTCTTGCATGCCTTATCTTCCAAGTTAAAGTGCTGCAATTCTTGATGTCCTGCAATGAGTGCATCTATCTTAATATTTTACTTTCAGTCAGGGGTCTGCTTTTGAAATTAACCTTCTGGTGGTGCTCACTTAGTACATTCTAATTCTCATCATGTAGTATTTACTAAGAGATGAACTTGATTCATTTGGGATGAAAGGGATGAATGTCTTTGGAAATGTGGCCAGGAATCCATGTCCAGCTGCTGCTAGGCATTCAGTCATGGGCCCAAGCTACGACTGCTTTAAAGCAAAACATCCCAAGTGTTTTGGAACACAGTTTGGAACAGCTCAGGTCTGGTCTAGTTATGCCCTATGAACTTGCTAAAGAAGACATAGTCTAGATCTTCATACTTCATTCTTACCTCATGCTGAGAGCAGAAAAATAAGCAGCTGCTGTGGTCAGGTTGTTCTTTTTATTCTGGTGTTTTTTAGAAAGGGGTTTTCATGTGAAACAAATTCTTCTTAAACCAAAACTGTTGCAGAAATCGTTTATAAAGTCATGTATGTTATTGTAATATTTAAAGCTTTAAAGCTTTCATTATGTTAACTGTGAATTAACTGAGTTCAGGTTCTAAGCATGCTGTTCAACCTGCACCTTCCTCGATGGTTTGTTTCTGTAGTGTACTCTTGCTGGAAAATTTAGGATTTCGGTAGCAAGTGTCCCCTAGCAAATTTCAGGCATGTGCATATGCATGTGGATATGTACACTCCCTATTTTAAGACAGTCTTAAAGGAAAAGAAAGATAACTCAGCAGTTGACATTACTACGCATGGGATGTTACCAATAAACCAAAATAGACGAGACGGGAGAAAAAAGTGTTTTCCACAATTCAGGTTGTAAATTAATAAACAAAATCAATGCTAATGGTGCTGTTTTTGAAGGTTCAATCACCTCAAGCAGTCCCACTGCCCAGCCTGCTGAAGTGCTGTTGCAGGCTACTCCTCCCCACAGACGAGCTCGGTCTGCTGCCTGGTCATACATATTTTTACCTGAGGAAGCTTGGTGTGACCTCACGATTCACCTTCCTGCAGCTGTGTTGCTCAAGGAGATCCACATCCAACCTCACCTGGCCTCTCTGGCGAGTAAGTAGATTCACTGACATTGATGCTGATTTAAAAATTGGAAGGTAGGATTTGGAAACGATACAAAGCGTATAATCAGAGGAACTAAAGCTGAGGAGTTGTTGGAATAATGCCTGTAAAATAGGTTTGGAAACCTTGCTAATGCTGCTTTCCTTAAGAATGGAAGGCCCTGCATCTGTTTGATTTCTTCTAGTGTAGTAGATGTCTCGTGGTATTCATGTTAAATATGCCAAAAAACCTAGTCAGACTTCGCAAAACTTGCCCCACTGAGAACATGATATTGGTCAAGTTTTCAGGCAAAGTGCTTTTGTATGGTAGATGGAAAAAAGCATGAGATTTTCAGCTATTATGGTTGTCGCTCTGATAGGGAAACCTGTGGCGTTTACAGCGACAGGACCTTTCTTCATCTGAAGTCTTTGAAATGAACTGTATATACCCTGTATCAAAATGCATATGCTATTAACATAAACCATCACACAGGTCAGACACTCCAGCGGCAGTTCCATAGTAGCGTTAGCCTGAGATAATTTCAATCATTTTGTTCTCTATCTTGAGCAGCAGTACATGTTCAACACCTAAAATTCAAACTGGTACAGGTTTTTAAATAGTGTTAAACCTTCTTATCTTGCTCTGTAGCTTGCCCTTCGTCAGTATCTGTTGAAATAAGCGCAGATGGTGTCAATATGTTACCTTTGTCAACTCCTGTTATCACAAGTGGTCTCACCTATATAAAAATCCAGCTGGTAAAAGCTGAAGTTGCCTCAGCTGTCTGCCTTCGTCTCCATCGTCCTCGTGATGCCAGTACCCTGGGCCTCTCTCAGATCAAACTCTTGGGCCTCACAGCCTTTGGAAACACCTCCTCTGCAACCGTCAACAATCCCTTCCTTCCCACTGAGGATCAGGTCTCTAAAACAAGGTAAGGCTCTAGTGTCAGTAGATAGTTTGTGCCAGTTAATGGTTTGGGGTTTTTTTTTGTATTGTGTCTTCTGCTCTGAGTCACATTTTTCAGCATGATGGGGACAGTATCAAACTGTGTTCATGAGTACCTGGTTTTGTAGCTCAATTGAGCATTTACAGAACCTGTTACAAATATCATTGAAAACTTGCCTCTTGTTTTCCCCACAGTACAGGAAACAAATACAAGCAGTACTTCTCACTTCTTTCATAGCATGCTTAGTCTGCATATATAAAAGGAATGTTTCATCTCTGCAATGGAGAAAGAATACAAAGCATAGAAAAGCATTTAGAGTTGCATTTTGTGTTTTTAATGGGTAGTCAGTTGTCAAAAAAACTGAAATACCATAATATTTCTTATCCCTACTGAAGTCAACAGAGTTACATAAGTATTGGAGCAGGAATAGAAATAGAATGATGGGATGTTTTTGGAAGTCATATCTAATACTGCTGTTTGCAAACATTTGAGAAATAGGAACTGAATGTTGTTACAATTCTGGCATATCAGCAAGATTTATTTTCGAAAGCTTTTATGTGGTTAGGTGGCATGTTGAGTTTCTTACTTATTTTTAAAACAAAAATAAACAAACCCTAAGGATTCAGAAAGGAAGTGTCAAAGTTTTTCAACTTTGAATTTAATATAATGGGTGAATTTTTGAGACTTCCTGGTTCTTGAATTTAGCTTACTAAATTGTAGACACTCATTCATTTGAAATGTTTCATCTTTGAACCTCAAGGTTTATAAATTCGAATAGAGAGTAAGGGAAAGTTTTGAAAAAATTTATTTTGCTGGGAAAAGTTTTCAGAAAATAAGTAAATTCAGAGAATATATGTACTGCCTGTGTATGATAAAAATTAACTGAAATTTGCCTCCGCTCTTGAATAGCAGTGAAGAAAATTTCTATAGTCAAATTATACTATTGATACATTTGTACTTCATAAGAGATTGTAATTAAGTCACACAAGAATAATCAGTAGCTAAAGAAAGAAAGTGAATGTACATTCTTCATGTCTTGAAATGTTTCATTGTAGCTTTCAGCTTTGTTTTATAAGTGTCTTAATAAAGTAATGGTAATAATATGATAGATAATAATCTTGGATATAATTTTGGTTTTGACATAGCAGAGAACTTGCTGTCTTATAATTGATAGATATTAGGAGTAAATTATTCCTAAAACAAAATTGTAAGCTTAATTTAAGATCTATATGCAAATTTTCCTTTTTTTTTTTTAAATAAAATGAAGGTTAGCTGTCAAAACAAGTTAACCTGCTAGTTTAGAAGTTTTGTTGGTGAAATGATGCCCATTTATTTCACATGCAATTTGTTCATGATGCTAGTTAAAGAGTATTGTAGTGTATTTTGTAAATGACACCTAGTCAGTGTTTTCAAATTGATTCGATTACAATTGGTTTACTTCTCAGGATTTAATCTGAATTATATGGTCAGAGAATAAGAGAGACATAAGAGAAGTGTAGTGGCTAACACATTTTTTAATTGCAGCACTTCTTCTGTATGTATTTTAAGTCAGGTTCCCTAAGGGTTGCTGTAATTTATTCTCAATGTGCACGACCCTAAGAGTTTGTAATGTCAGGAAAGTTGTGCAGGTGTATAATTTTAATGCCAACTACTATTGCACTTCAGCTCCTTTTAATGTAAAAATACCCAACAAACAAGCAAGCAAACCCAGCAAAGGAAAAAAAGCAAAACAAAACCCCAAACCAATCAAAGGAGTCCAACCCACCACAAAAACTGAAAAAAAAAACCCAAACCCACCCTACACCTTTCCCTCTATATAAACACCTTCCCTTCCATCGTCCCCTCTGTAGGTTGGTCCTATTGGAAGAAATATATATGGGAATTGAGAAACCCTGAGAAACTTTAGTAATAAAACTCACAGGCTCTTAACTCTTCGTACCCAAACCCTACCTTTCTGACAGGCTCAATCCAGAGGCTGCAGCAGCATTACTAATGTGTATTACATTGTGGTGTCAAATTCAGTCATTTGCTTTTCTCAGGTGATGTTTGATCATGTCACAGAAATTTTCTGCAGTACTTGTCCTAGAATCTCATACAGGTAGTTGTGTTATAGATGAAAAATAACGTAATAAGAAAATAATACTATGCTCATTTTTATGTTTTCCTTTTCAGTATTGGATGGTTAAGATTATTACACCACTGCCTCACTCACATAAGTGATTTGGAAGAAATGATGGCTAGTGCTGCAGCACCCACTGCTAATCTGTTGCAGACATGTGCTGCTTTACTAATGTCACCTTACTGTGGTATGCATTCTCCAAACATTGAAGCTGTGCTTGTAAAAATTGGGCTTCAGTCCACTAGAATCGGCCTAAAATTGATTGACATTCTTCTAAGAAACTGCTCAGCATCAGGGAGTGATCCTGCAGGTGAGTGCAATGTTTTTCTTTTCAGTCTTTGCTTAAAAACATTGCTTGGATAAAAGTACAAATACTGTATATCTGCATGTGCTTTCTGGTTCTGAATCTGGGTTGCCAGAACTTGCCCTTGCACTTTGTTGTGCCTTTAAGTATTACAGTCTTTGTGTGGGGGTAGTTCTGCAGCAGTAAAGCAGTGCAACCAGGGTGGTTTTGATTTTTGTGTACAATATGTAATTAGGTGATGTTTTGAAGACAGAGAGGGTACATTCCATGCCCTGCAGTGCCTCTTAATATCGATACTGTGTCTAAATGTTTCAAAACAAAGAGCATCCATAAGTATGGCTAAGGAAAATAAATGTGGCAGTATTTGGGCAGCCAAGAGTCTGTAGGACAGTATGAACTCCGAATAGCATTAAACATGGAAAATATTTGTATGTAGAGGTACATAATCAAGATACAACCAGTCTGTGTCCCACAGTGAAGATGTGCAGAAGCTGTTCCATTAATGCACTGAGGGGTTTGTATTTTTGATTTCATGATATTTTGCTATTTTGTGGCTTTTAAATGAAAGAAAATAAAATTCCTGTTTTGAGGTTGCTAACAGAAAATGCTCTTTTAAAAATAGCTTCCATGACTACTTCTGCCATGAGTTAGTGTTTCAGTGTAGACCTCTGTCTTTTGGTGAAGTGATGTTAGATGAGAGAGTAATTTCCTAAAGGGCAGGAGATGAGCATGGTGAGGAGAAGGTGAATAGGAAATAATCTGAAGACATCTTCAGATGTAGTCCCATTGATGGAAATTGGAGTTAACTAAGATTCCATTTTGAAATAAGTATTTGCTTCTCTGAAGCTTGCTGTATGAGAGCTCTATTGGAATTAGTCGTGTCTTTGTGGAATACATTGAAGAAAATCCTGATGTTTAAACCATTGTCTTGTATCTGATGAATGTTGTAACGGCTTTTCTTTTCATAGTAAGGCTGAATATAGCACTGAACATACAAAATGCACAGTTTCAAGACAGTGATGTGTATAGGAATTGCATCCTTATGTCAATGACAAAACTTAGTTCAGTGTTAATGTTGCAATTTGCTAAGAATGACGTTAGTACATTTAAAATATATATATGTAAGTACTTCTATTATTTCCCCTCCCCTTTTTTTTTTTTCGAATGCGGCAAGATCTGAATAGCCCTTTACTGTTTGGAAGATTAAATGGTCTCTCTTCTGACTCCACAATAGACATTCTTTATCAGCTTGGAACAACTCAAGACCCTGGAACAAAAGATAGGTAATGTTATTTGGGTTGTCATGTGGAAGCGTATACAAAAATAATCTGCTAAACAGTGGCTAGATATTAGTGTGCAAAACCGGACTTGTTTTTAATCTGATCGTTATGGGATAGAATGAAAGTGCAGATATCTGCAGAATCTTTCCAGCTTTCTCTCCTAGGTCGTTGCATCCTTTGCAGAGCATGCTGTCACTCTATTTTTGCTCTTACGTGTGATAAAACTTTGGTTTTCTAGTGACTTTCCTCTCAAATAGTCAGAACTCAGATACCTGCTGTATTTTCTTTTTCTGTGGGAAGAAAGTTTACTTTTAGCTTTCCAAGATAAGATTTTTTTTAATTAATTTTTGCCCTGTTTGTAATCTGAGACTTGAGAAAAAAGAGCTTGAGCTCACTCATGAACTTTACTTCCAAGGAAGAGATAAAGGTGTAAATCGTGTTACAAAAAACCAGCAAGCTAATTTGTTTTTGAGTGTTTCTTTGATCCTTTATAATGTGCTGCATCATCTTGCCTTTCAGGATTCAAGCATTGCTGAAATGGGTCAGTGATTCCGCAAGAGTTGCAGCTATGAAAAAAAGTGGCCGTGTCAGCTACATTTGTCCAAATAGCTCGACAAGGGAGTATGGTCTTTTGATGCCATCTCCGTCCCATTTGCATTGTGTAGCAGCAATTTTGTGGCATAGTTATGAATTGCTTGTGGAATATGACTTACCAGCATTGCTGGACAGAGAGCTCTTTGAGTAAGTAAAGCCAAGTTTTGCACTGCGTTATTTTTATAACTGAATTATTTTGTTCACTGAAGTGATACAACTTGAAGTGTACTTACTGTGAAATAGTAGTGGAAAGAGTCATCACTGGAGCTAATTGATGGAGTGAATGCTTAAAGATGTCTAAACAGGTAGTTCTGGAGTTCTGAATACAAAAGTGCACTTCACGTATTCCAGGTATAATTGTGTTTAAAAGCCAAAAATCTGAAATGAAGCAGCAAATCCATGTATATACTTGTATACATGCGAAAAGTAAACTCTTTCATGTTTTTGTTTATGAGGTCTCTTAAAGAATAACTCTGGACTCTGCTTGTTGAAATTATTTGTGGTAGTTTTTACAGTACCTATAAATGATCTTCATTTCTATGCTGTTATATAAGTATTATTTTATTTTCCTTGGTATCCAGTATCTACAGCTGATAGCTAGGGAACAACTAAAAGCTAGAGAAGGGTTTGATTTTTTTCCTGGAGTTTCCACTTTTGTTCTGGCCAGTCTGATTCGAAAAAAGCAAAAGCACAAAATATGGAGTGAATTGTGAACTGTGAATTTGCTGGATGTTGGTGAATTCTAAAGAGAAGTTGACCCTAAACACCAAATGGTTACTCTTAGTGTCTCCAAATTGAAAAATTCGCCTAATATTCACAATTTATGTTGCTTAATCATCTCTTCTGTTTAGACAAAACAAAAGAGAGAAGGCACATAACTTCTATGGAAATGTGGCTCACAAATTGCATCTAGTAATGTGTCTTTCATTTGTAACATTTAATACAACTCTGCTTATAGTTTTCTTCTTGGCCTTAGGAAACCTTCCTATTTTTCTACTCCTTTACTGTGCTTTAGGCACAGTCAAACATTCAAACACCAGGAAATGTACAAGTTATGGTTATAGGTAGAAGCATGTGGAGCTGATGTGTATGTGCAACATGGTGGTCTTTAGATTCATGACTACAAGTGAAACATTTTCCAAAGACACTTGAGTGACACTGTCATATAAATAGTTGTTAATTCAAAATGAGCTTGTTCATTTTGGGAACCAATTTAAGGATTTTATATTGCAGGTCAGTTAGTCCTTTCAGCCATGCACTTTAATAGAAATATATTTTCAGGCTACATTTTTACAATTTTAACGTTTGAAAAGGAAAAGCTCTAATAAAAATCAACTTCCTGCAGTGGATAACCCATTTAGATTTCCCTAAGGGTGGGTTTCACAACTGAGTTCCTGTCTTTTGGAGCAGAGCATGTTGTTCTCATTATGGGGCAAAATGAAAGAATACCAATAGAACCATTGTACCTATTTTGAGTATGCATGTTGTAATACAGCCCTGTTCCTCCACCTCCTGCCAGGTACAAAACTATGGCTCATTTCAGCCACCATCTGGAGCAAATTAGAAAATACGTTTTTAAATAAGTATAAAAGCATTTTTGTCATGCTTGTATAGGTAAATGATTCTTCTAATAGAAATAACTTCTCGTGTGTTTTCTTCATCCTCTGATACTGCTTCTAATAGAAATAACTTCTCGTGTGTATTCTTCATCCTCTGATACTGTATACCTTTTGAAATATTTTACTGGATTCTAGCTGTAACTCCTAGTTTCTTCTTAATGTGATAATTCACTTTTTTCTTGAAAGCACTTTCCCATCATCCCCATTTTCCATGTCAATATTTTTGCTTTGGCCAATGGATGATAATTTATTCCTTAGTTGTTTTCAAATATGTAGTTGGAGAAAAAAATCGTATTTTTCATAGGGCATTTGAAATCAAAGTTGAATAGCAGGAGCTAAATAGGCTTTTCCATTCATGTGCCTTGGATTAGCATTCAAGCAGGTAGTATTTGGATGTAGGTGAGATTTTAGTATCTCTGAGGAATAACTTTGTTGTTAACTTGTGTCCTCAGTTTAGGTTAAGTAAGGATAGCAAGGGTAGTGTTGTTCAGCCAACAAGATTGTTGTTGCTTTCATTTTTTTGCAGCATCTTTAGGAAGATGCCTAATAAATCAAATTGCAAAAAAAATTTTATGCATGTTAAAATACTCTTGAGTTCTTACATAAAGGTCTCAGTCCTTTGTACGTGAGCCTGTGTGCATGTGTGTGTGATCCTAGTAGCTGCAGCTTGAAGTGTTGACTGCACAAAGAGGTTGCAGTTGCCTCAAGAATGCATAAAAGACCGAAATCCTGTTTGTCATGTGTGGCATGCCAGAAAGGACAGCTTATATCTATTTTATATGATATATATGTATATCTATATATAGATATATATGTGTGTGTGTGATAGACACATGATGGAAGAAATTTAAACATACAGTTGAGAAATGCCTTTTGGGTAATCAATGTCCTGCTGATACTGTCATCCATTAGAGGTTTCAAGCTCAGCACATTGTGTTTTACAACAGCTTCTACAATAGCTAATCATAAATGTGGAAAGTTGTTTTATGAATCAGTGGGAAAAAAGGGAATATGAGCAGCAGACTACATGTTGATATGATTTTCTGTCTTCTGCAGGTCACTGTTTAACTGGTCCATGTCTCTTCCCTGCAACATGGTTTTGAAGAAAGCTGTTGATAGTTTGCTTTGCTCAATGTGCCACATCCACCCAAATTATTTTTCCTTACTGATGGGATGGATGGGTATCACTCCTCCTCCAATGCAGTGTCAACACAGACTGTCCATGACCGATGACAGCAAAAAGCAGGACCTTAGTTCATCTTTAACAGATGACTCTAAAAATGCACAAGCCCCTCTTGCACTAACAGAGTCTCACCTGGCTACTCTTGCTGCCTCATCTCAGTCTCCTGAAGCGATCAAGCAATTATTGGACTCAGGTTTGCCTTCACTGCTTGTAAGAAGTCTTGCTAGTTTTTGCTTTAACCATACTTCTAGCTCTGACTGCACTGCACAATCAATGGACATCACCCAGGACAGGCTCAGGAGGCATCACGTTCCACAGCACTTTAATAAAATGCCTATCACGGCAGACCTGGTTGCTCCTGTTCTCAGGTTTTTGACAGAAGTTGGCAACAGCCACATGATGAAGGACTGGTTGGGTGGCTCTGAAGTCAATCCATTGTGGACAGCACTTTTATTTCTGTTGTGCCATTCTGGTGCTACCTCTGGAGGACACAATATGACAGCACAACAGACCAGTGCAAGATCTGGCTTGCTTTCTTCGACTGTAACAACAGGATTGACCACTCAGCAGCGAACAGCAATTGAGAATGCAACAGTTGCTTTCTTCTTACAGTGCATCTCTTGCCATCCTAATAACCAGAGACTTATGGCACAGGTGAGAAAGAAAAACACTATTTTAATTTATTAATTACTACAGCTAACTTACAAAACTTTCTGTGTTTTCTAGCTTTCTTTAAAATAACTTGGCTTTTTTTGTAGGCTGTCATTGAGTGGAAAAGTTTTATGTTAAAATCGTTACCTGGTTGGTCTGAGTCTGAAAAGTATAAAAATGTTTTGGCGTGGCCTTTCAGTGCTGGGTATAGATTTGTATTCCTCTTGGTTTAGAGGAACAAATTTTAGACCAAAACCCAACAGACTATATTTAATTGGTTAGGTCTAAATTTCTGTTAAGTGGAATTTGAACATCAAGCTTCATATACACATCTTTAATGTTAGTAACCTAAGGAGATATCTTGGGAAATTTGCTTGTGACCAAGGAAATAAAGGCTATTGCAGAATATGACTTTGCGTTTGGCATTCTAGTGCAAATTCATCTATCTTCCTCACGCTCATAAACCTTGCAGATCTAGCTGAATAGGAGTATAATGAAAAAAAGACTTTTCAGCATTCAAAATGATGATGCCCTGAGAAGAGGTAGACTTGAGTAAAAAATGGAGTCACTTCTCTGTTGATGGCTGGTAATAACACTGCCTTATGCAGCGGGGGATTTTTGCTTTAGGAATTCGAAAGCTATTTTTCTACCTACTTTATCTTCATTTTTAAAATATTTTTTGAGTTGTCTACATGTTTACAATTGATTTGATGCTGTAGTCAGTATTTTAAACTTTCTATAAAGTGCCTTATTTGCTGCTGGTGTTTTCTTCAGTGGTACTCATTTCTGATCTGGTTTGAATGATAACTAGAAGGTGCATCTTAGACACTGCCTATTATGGCTGTGTAGAGCTATATTTTAGAGACCTAAATATAGAAATATTTTACATCTCATGTCATTTTGCATTCCCAGGTTCTCTGTGAGTTATTCCAATCCTCTCCGCAGCGTGGGAACCTCCCAACCTCTGGAAATATTTCAGGATTTATTCGGAGGCTTTTTTTGCAGCTGATGCTAGAGGATGAGAAAGTGACTTTGTTTCTTCAGTCCCCTTGTCCAGTAAGAATTTTTGATACTGTATGGTAAACATGGAATAAATTTAGCCTTTTGAAATTAAGTCTGAGTATATTCAACTTAGGAATGTCAGACAGCAGCTTTTCCTGCTGGACACATTATGGAATTTTGGAAAGGAGAGTGTAACTCAGCATTTTGGGAAAAACTTCAACACGCTGTGTTAAGATAAAGCCATCTGGTTGGAAATACACTGCTTCTGAAGGATCTGACAACTGAAATTGATCTTGTGCAAGACTCATTAATAGTATCTTTACCCATTAGCAGTAAATACAGATACAGTATCTAGTCCTTCCAGTAGTCCTTATTTGTTTCATTAAGGATTGGTCATAGTCAAAATTGGCAGAGGTCCTTCAGCATTAGCCAAAATGCCATGAATAAATTCTTGAGTGACAAATCTTTGAATGTGTTTATAACGCAGATGGATGCATTATGCTTCCACATGCTTCACTGGAACAGAGTTATAATTAATGTCTGAAGTGCTCTCCATTGAAAGCTTTTAAGTTCTTACCTAAACTGTGTTTCAGAAACTCAATTCTGATTGTCAGCAAATACTGACTTTTTTAATGATACTGCACAACAATAAATTGGTCCTTTAAGTGAATATTAGTAAACAGCTCTTCTGATAATAGGAAGGGGGAGATAAGTGACACTCTCATTGCAGAAAAGTGGGTGAAAAGTTACTGCGAAGAGTGATACAAAATATGAACAGGGCTCAGGCTAAAATACGTTACAATAAAATATTTGAAATGTTTTCATTCTTAGTGACTAAGTTATCTGTCATAACAGTAAGTAGATATTAAGTATAGAATAAATTTCCTCCTCAAGTCAGAGCAACAGAGAAACAACATCTTTCGCTACTCCAAGTACATTGTGATTTTTCTAATTTAATTTCAGAATCAAGTTTTTATTTCATAAACATTTGCAAGCCTCAGACACTCAATTTTCTCTCCTATTGTGACTGTGTAAAATAACTGGTTTTTTTAAAGCAAATATGATATCATAGTGTATCTGGTCTTAAAAATATTCCAGGCTTTCAAAGCAAATTATTTTGAGTTAAAAAAATTAAACTTGTCTAATTTAATTTGCTGTATACCTCCAAAGTTGCAGGATATGTCAGTTTTCTTTTTTAGCACAGTAAGGATTTAGATTTATCCTGCTGAGCTGGGTTTATAAGAATGCAGTGTTTTAACTTATTTAGCAATTTTAGAGTCATGTTAAGTGCTGACTTTTTTTTCCTTTCAGCTCTACAAAGGTAGAATTAATGCTACTAGTCACGTAATTCAACATCCAATGTATGGAGCTGGACACAAATTTCGTACTCTTCACTTGCCTGTCTCAACAACTCTAGCAGAGGTTCTTGATCGTGTGTCAGGCAAGTTTGCAATAATTCATGTTTTATTATTTTTAAGATACAGTTTAAAAATAAATCCCTTATAGTTTGTTTGACCATACAAATGATACTGCAAATAGTCTCTAAAACAACAAAACCTTTCATCCAGTCAGTTAAGTATTCTGGAACTTAGTCATGTCTCAAGGTGGAGATGAAATCTCCATTGCCATGAAAAGGACATTGATGAAGCCTCCATCTAATTTCTGTAAATATACATCTGTCTGTTATAGAAACATTTCTATTTGCTTACTAAATGGATATTGAAATTTATGGATTTGTTTGGTTGGTTTTAAAAAAAAAAAAGGCACAAACCCAGGACTTCCTCTTTATTCTGACAATGTAGTTCTCAATAATATCAAAGAAAAGTCAATGATCATTACAGCATTTATGTTTTTGCCATATTGGAGATGTGCACTGAAGGGTGTGCACTTAATTGCACGCTCCTCTGACTAGGTATGTATGTTCTTACCTGTAGATTTACTTGTATGTGTACTTTTTTGGAACTTCCTGTACATCAACATTTAACTCCTGAGGCAGGTCATTATGGATTTAAGAGAAACTATTCATTTTTTTGTATCTGCTGGGAATCTTTACATTGAAATTATTTACAAATTCATTAGGGCAATAAATATGTTACCTAGCAAGCTGATAGGAGTAATAAAAAGGTAAAGAGTACTACGTAGAACAAAATGTGCTTTTGGATTTTAATCAAAAAATATTGATTCCTAGCAAAATGTTTGTAGCTTATTTATCTATTTCTGATATAATTCCATATTTGTTTACTGTCCAGACACAGTCATGTGTGGAATGTGACTAAGGTCTTTGTGACCATAAACTGCACAAGGATCTAATTACTGTAGTGGGTGGGATGGTCACCTCACATCAGCTGTCAAGCAGTGACATAAACTGTACTGAATAGCTGCCTCAGTGGTGTATTGTGGTCAGTTTGATAGCCAGTGCTAATAAGGACTGGAGTAGGGAATGTGATGATGTGATATACTGTCATATCTGTAATTGAAAATGGTCAAATCCTGACTTTGTTGGGCACCATAACTTTGGGTTTTGCTGCAGAATTGTTATGCCTCAGCTTAACTCTCATTTTAAATTGCAAGAATTCATTCTGGAAATGTTAGGGTTCTCTTATGTTTCCTTGTCTAATGTGGCTCTGACTCAATTAAAAACTTAGTGATTCTTGTATGTCATTCCATGAAGTCCTTGTTTAGAACAGAGTAAAGAAAACTTGAATATATGAGGAGTAAACTGTGTGTTTGGGGTGAGAGGGAGAGAGAAGAGATGGACTGAGAGAAAAAAAGAAAAGACTGCCACCACTGCAACAACAGGAAGTCATAAAAATCATGTGTTGGTCTGGCCCTTGGGTTAACTTTATTTTTCTTAACTACACTGTTAATGTCTCGAATTAATCGTGTAGTACTTTCTGCATAAATAAATCACAATAAGCATATTCATTTCATACCTTTACTCACAGCTTTTTTAAAAAAGGAGGTGTGCATGTGTCTAAAATAATTGCTAAACCTACTGCTCGCATCCCTTCACCATAGGAGGAAAATGTCTGGTACTGCAGACAGGATTGTCTAGGATGAGTAACAGTTGGTTTGTATTTCATGTGCCTAAGTCTTAGTTACTAAGTTACTAAGTCTAAGGTACTGGTCTTAGCTGGTCAAAAAAAATTGAAGAACAAAACTGGGTATCACCCGAGTAGTAATAATACCATTGCTTTAAGCTTCCTTAATAATAATTTTATTAACAGCCTTTAAATTATTCAGCAGTAAAAAGATACAGAGTCCATGAGATTAAACTAGAGCAACTCTGAAGTTTAATAATGCTAATAATAGTACTAGTAGTAGTAATAATAATAAAAATAATATTTTTAAAAACTAACACCCAGTCTCTATGTATAGATATACACACCCACATACATATATATACAGTAGGGGAGTTTGTGTGTGTGTGTGTGTGTGTGTATGTGCATGTTAGGTCCTGAGTAGCAGCAGTTTCATGCTCTGTATCTTCTTTTGGTCTTCACTGCTGCCTAACACAGACATAACCCATGTCTTGTGCCACAAATCACTCTTTCAGCAACTCATCCACTGGTGGCACACAGTTATAGGTAGCTGGATGGTACTTTTAGGTCTTGGGTATACCTTAAAGCTGCTGTGGCTATCTAGAAACAATTACTACTCAGAAACAATTTAATTATTCAGCCAGTTTGGTACCAGTGTTGTTCCTTACAAGTGTGAAATGATCCATTATCACCAATCTTCAGTGATTTAATAGATTTGATTAGATTGAATAACTTGCTGATACTAACAATTGAACTAAAATGGTTGAACTGCAGTAATCTAATGTTTACTTAAGCTAACAGCTCAAGTTTTGGATGTGGAATATACTTTAGGCATGTTCAAATTTCAAAGGAACCAGTCATACTTGCCCATTATGAAATTGGATCAGTATGTAATACAAGATACTCAGACCTAAATGCAACAGTTTATATAAATAAGTCTGCAGTTACCCTTAAAAAAAAAGTTTTCTAATTTCTTCTGTTGTTTAATTTTGTTGTTGTTGTTATTTGTTGAGGCTTTGTTTTGGTTCACTGGATTTTAGATTTGGATCGGGAATTTTTTGCTTAATCTCAGTTTTGGTTAATTGCAGTGGGTTAGTGGTTTTTTAACATGAATACACTTGAATCATCAGGTAATGGTTTTAAACTGTTACAGATTTAAATTGTAAGAGAACAGATTTTGGGGGAAGAAGGGACCAGAATTGTCATGATACCTTAATTCATAGGTATTGACGAGACTATTTCTGTCTGGGCTGGAGCTGTGAGACACTAAAATAGTTCAGAATAGCCTCGTTAACAGCTTAGAAACTGTAATAAAATCAACTTGGTATCCTGAAATACCTTTCTCTCTTTTTTTGTTTGGGTTTTTTCCCCCCTGTATAGATACACCCAGTATTACAGCTAAGCTAATTAATGAACAAAAGGAAGACAAAGAAAAAAAGAATTATGAAGAGAAAGAAAAAGTTAAAGCAGAAAATGGATTTCAGGACAATTACAGCGTTGTTGTTGCTTCTGGTATGTCTTTGTTTTAGCTTCTACAAACGGATGTTTCTTGTGTTAGAAGTGTGTGCAGGGAGGGAAATATACCAACAAAAGAATTTTAGCGCTAATGTTGGCTAGAAAAATTTTAGTATTCAATTAATGTAGCTGACTGTTAGGCAGTGAAGCTTGGTTCCTGGTAGAATAGCTGCCTCTGACAGGTCATATACTTCGAAAAATTTGTGCCTAAATGTGTCAGTGATATCTCCGTGGATGCTGTTGCTAGGGCGTTTTCCAAGATTTTTTACAGACACACCTGGAGCTTGGTGGGTGTTATTACCTCTACCTCTTTGCAGTAGCTGGTGCATTAGAGTTTAATCACCTCTACTCCCAAAATAAGCTTTGCAAATAAAAGTATTCATATATTTTGCACAACAACTGGTGGTACTCTGCTAAAACCTCTCAGATGGAGATGTGGGCGTAAAAACATGTTACTCCACTTGGAAACAACAAATATAGGAGTTTCTTCCAAAGCATTCACCTAAAAACTAATGTGAAGAATCTCCTGAAATCTTTGTTGTAAACCCTTTTCCTCCAAAACTACTGTTGGAGGATATAGATTGAACATAGTAATTTTTCAGTGATACTCAAAGATTACAGTTCAGATGATGGCTGCAGAGGTCATTAATCTTTCAGTTTGAAGTTCTGGTGTGGGTGAGAGAGAGATTAAGGAACTTCAAACTACTATTCTTCTATCTAGTTTTCTGCCTTCATTGAGGTACCTCAAGTTCATTTACACTTCATGAAGCATGAAGAAGAGATGCTGATCTCCTTTGACTTTTGGCACCAATATTTCTTAAGCTTTTTATTTCAGGTTTTTAGATGTAGATACTCTAAACTCAAGTGTCGGATAGGACAGCAGTTTTGTGAATCTTTATATGGATTTAAAGCAACACAGCTGATGTTATTTACAGCATCCTTATCTGGCAGATATTTACAGTAGGTGCCACTTAAAGTAAACATGTTTTAGTAATATCAAAAGTATTAATAGGTTCAAGCAAGGGGCTAAAACATTATTAAAGAATCTAGGAAGAAAAAAATATTATGCCAAGCTTGAAAATAGGGCATAACATAGTCAGCTATATCTCATCTCAGCTGCGTCTCTGATCCTACTACCTGATATAATATTGGAAATAAGCAGATTTAAGTTTTTTCTTTTTTTTTTTGTTTCTATTTTTTCCAGTTAAGTAAAAGAGTTTAAATGTAGACTTATTTCATTTGCATTTATTTTTATTAACTGTTAGTAAAATCATTTTTTCTTTTGTCACTGACTTTTCATATATTCTGGGTATTTTTTAGTGTCCTCAGCATCTCATGAAGCCAGTACTTGTTACCCATTGGTAAAATTAGGAGAGAGCAAAGATATTATTTGGAGCTTGATCTTCCTGAGGCAAGCTAGTTTAATATACTGAGATTGCTGGAGAATGTGTTGCATATTAGAGCTGCTCCTTATGATCAGCTGAAACCAGAGTGTATTACAGCATTTCAAGCATGGATGTTGTTAGTTTTGCACCTGCTCTTTGATGATGATAATGCAGTAATTGTATGTGACTTTGTATCTTGACCTACTGGCTATTTAACTTGGTCTGTCATCTGCATAGAAGGGTACGTGGTTGCAGTATAACTTTGCTGTAGCTTAAGTCAACTTAAGCTGTCCCAGAGTAAGATAGTCTTGCTATGTACATAAGTCAGTAAGCTTTTATGTAGCTTTTTTTCCTTCTGATTTTCATGTAGTACTTACTTCAAATGTTTTGAGCTAGGCAATTTTAAGGATGCCTTTCACCACATGTGGTGCTGTCAGGGCTGCAGCTGAAGTGGCCTTCATAAGGCCAGACAAGTAGTTGTTGTCTATAGTCTGTGCTGAAATTCCTGTCAATTTTATAAAATTTTGCCTTTGTTACTTTCAGCTGAAAAAAACAACTTTAAAATGTTTCACTATAGGACCCATTGTGAGAGACACTCTTTTAACTAGAGCAGAGTTGGCATAGCTCTTGCTTTTTTTATGGATGATATGATCTAGTACAGTTACATTTGGTTTATATTTGGGGCTTAGGAGGATGCACAGCCTCTAACTGTAAAAACACTGGGATTATATCCCAATATATTTTATACATGAATTCTATTCTGGTATTTATTTAGCCGTTCTGGTAAAGTTCTACCTTTTTCTATCATTGAAGGTACCGAATACATTGTATCTTTGGTAACTGAAGGTATTCAATGCTAGAACAACTTTGAATTTTTTACTTCTGTACTAGGTTTGAAATCTCAGTCAAAAAGAGCTGTTTCATCCACACCTCCACGTCCACCATCAAGGCGAGGAAGAGTGATGGCAGATAAAGTGGGTACCTCTTCTTCTGGAGGAGAATCTTCCAGCAAGACCATTAGTGTTCCAGTCTTTCATCTGTACCATAAACTTCTACCAGGTAACTTTAGTAATGGATTTTAAACACCAAAATTATAGTCTTTTTCAGAGGCTAATACATCATCAGGATGTAGTTATAATGCGAATGACCAAAATTATAGTCTTTTTCAGAGGCTGATACATCATCAGGACGTAGTTATAATGCGAATTGACATGTTTATCTTTCTATTGAGCATCTTGAAGTGCAGAGCCCTTCTGGGCTGGTAACAGCTCTCAATTGGAAAGCATTATAGCATCTGCAACTGCAACATTATAGCATCATAGTTGCTTGAAAAAAAATGTAGCTATGTTCATCTTTCTTGAAGTTTAGTGATACAGTTAATGCTGCTATTTTGGAGATGATATCAAAACCCTGTGCCTGTTTTCAGTCTATAATTGGGAAAGGTTGACTTATGATGGTAATGTAGACCATTCTGTATTTGAGATCTGGTTGGTCACATCTTGTGCAGCAGCCAGTTGGTAAAAAAGAAGGTAAGCCATGCAAAGCAGAATTGGTGATGAGAAAAAGGGCAGAAAACTTACTCACTTGCACAATGGCAATACATGTTTAATTTTTATTTCTGAAGACACCATCTTCCATTAAAGAAACAGGTTGTTACTAAATACCTCCTGCACCTTGTGTGACTTGATTAAGTACAGTCAAGATGAAATGGGCATGCTATTACATGATCCAACTCTAATATATTTCATGTGTAAGTCTACTCATTGTCAGGAAAAATTATTCTGCCTGGAGAGTAACTTGTAATTTCAGGGAAGACCATATTAATAATAACAAAGTGGCCAAAATCTGAGTTGATTAATCAATTTGGACTGTATTGCATGTGCATTTCAAGTCTATATTGCTGCTGAGAAAAGTATTAATTTCTTTTCTTGCTGAGTTGTGTCCTGACACAGGAGTAATGAGCTGTGCTTGAGACTAACAGGACTGAAAAAGAATTGCAGGTTTCTTTGGTTTTCACTTTTTTCCGCATCAGCCATTTTACCTTATGGTCACACACCTCTGTGCCACTACAGATCGAGGGTGATGCATAGGTGGAGTTTAACAGGAGGGGACAGCCAGTACCTGCTTAAAGTGCACATCAAATGACAGCCTTAGCCATTTGTTAAATATGCCAAGTGCTTGGGCTCTCAGCACTGAGCTGCCTTAGGGAATGTTGGCATAGATCTTTTTGACAATTGGTTCCAAACTGCTGGGGCCCCTTTACCCAAGAGAACAAATGGTAAAATTAAGGCCTTGGTTTGGAGCCAGATAATACTTAGTCTACTTGGCATCTGTGGCACAAGTGATGAACAGCACCTGAATATGTATGTTAAAATAATCCAGTCGTAATTTTCCTGTCTGACTTGATGCCATTGTTGTTTAGGTCAACCATTACCAGCTGAAATGACACTTGCCCAGCTTCTGACTCTGCTGTATGACCGTAAACTCCCTCAAGGATACCGATCAATAGATTTGACAGTTAAACTTGGTTCCAAAGTCATCTCAGATCCAAGCTTATCGAAAACAGACTCATTTAAACGTCTCCACACAGAAAAAGGTATGTGTTCTTACTTTTTTGATATGTTCCTTTTTTAAAGGTTTTTTTTTCGACAAAAATGGTTTTAATTTTCTTGAAAAGAAGCAGCAGTTTTCTGATTTTCTAGGGTGATTTTCCTGAGCCATTCTTTTCAAGACAAGTGCTAAAGTTCATGGTAAAGTAGAAATTCATTGCCTGTCTGGATTGTATCTATAAAACACACCAGTATGTTTGTTCTGGTTTGACTTTTCTTTCTTCATTGTAGTGTTGATTGTGTAGATATGGTGTATTTTATTCCTTGACATGTATACCAGTTCTCTGTACTTAGTGTTTGTGCTGATAACCAGGGCAGATTAAGTGATACAGGAGCTGTTAGAAACCGTAAGAGTTATAGAAGCCTGTGAAATTCTTTATTGCAACATCTTTGGGTGCCTAGTGCTGCTTTGAAAATGGGGGTTTCTCTCAAGCTTCTCTAAGCAGGTCCTATAGCTCCTTTAAAGCTTTTTAAAGTTTGCTCAGAGAGGTTTTTATGAAATACAGTGTCTATTATGTCATTTTATTTTAGATTTATGACTATTATAAAGAACTGTAATCTTAATTATATTTATCTTAGTATATACTATATGCAATATTTGTATACTTTTATATACTTCTAAGTTCTGGGAAGTTAGACTCTCTTCACAATTTCTTAGCATGAGATACATGTTTGAATTCAAATACTAAATAAGAATTCTGTGATCCATAAAAACAAATTAAGTACAATAATACCAAATAGAAGATTCAGAGTGAAATCTGATGGGTTCTCCAGACCGTAATTCTTGAATCTTACTTTTGTATTTCTCTGAGTCACTGGTACTTCTGATTCCCTTGATGTGTAGAGGTGATTGGAATAAATGCAGCTAGATCAGTTTTGACATTTTTTAATATGGTCTATTTCTTGATAATGTTTTTGCCAATTGATTTCTATCTACTTACTGGGGAAGTGCTGGGGAAGACAGGAGCTCTACCCAGGAGTCTGTTTTGAAATATTTTTAATATCATTCCTTCAGGCAAGAACTTATAGAACTGGGACCTTGAAATTAAGCTAATTGTGATCTACTTCTGATCAGCCTGCTGACACAACATGGAATTCCAAAGTTAATCATTCAGCTATTTTAAGACAGGGGCTTCTTTTAATAACTCTTTGCTTAATAGGTCAGTCTGTTTCTAGAAAAGATAAGAAACAGAAGTGTTGAGAAAAAAAATCTTGTTTCCATGATATCTGGTATGAAATAAATATTTCATGACTCCATGTAATGGCTGAATATACAGATGTCTCACACTATTGAGAGACCTTTCAAATAAGATTTGTATTTTGTTTTGCCATTTATTTACATTCCAAACCTGCAATAAATATTTTATTGTTTGAATAAAACCCAAAAGACTTCAGAGGAGGTTCAATTTAGTTGTAGAGTTGCATGGGAACACATGAAGGTCCTCTGAGCTTTTATGGAGTTACTAGGCACTTTTTTTAAATTAAACTTGGGAGGAATACTTTTTGAAAATTTGAGTTTGTCATTACAAATCCATTCATCTGTGGTGCTATATAGCAAAATACTGTTTACATTCAGAAGTCTCACAATCAGTATAAGGAAGGTCAGAGCCTACTGCTTTTTATATCTAGAGGAATCATTCTTGCATATCAGTATTCCCTGAGTTGCTACTTAAAGTAGACTTCTTTTATTTTTTGACACCATCTGTGCTGCATAGATTTTATGACTTCACGTGGTGTCTCTAGTGCTATGTTTACTATTACTATACTTGAGGAAATGTCTCATTTATTTATAGTTTTTCTATGTGCTTTGATGACTTTGAGGTCAGTAGTATTCCAAGCTGAATTGCATGACTTCACTGAAAACATGAAGAACATTCATGGAGGTGAAATGGTTTAAACTGGGTTATAAGAAGACTAACTAAAGCAAGTACTGGAGAAACATACTGAAGTGTAACTCCTTGCATGAATATTGAAGATGTGTAAGGAATAGTACTGTATTGCAGTTATAATAACGGATCTGCCTATAGCCTTACTCACTGAGAACATATTTTTCAAGCACTTGTGCTTAATGGTCTTTCTGTGTATTATATCTGTATGTCTATTTTCTTGTCTTTTTTCTTTGTGAAAGGCTTACAGGTTTTTACACTGTTAAAACAGAGGGGTGAATTTTTTGTCAAAATCTTCATTTTAAAATTGTCTTTATCATGCATATCTGACATTTCTTGTCTGGTCAGTTCATACCGTTGCAAGCAGTTGAATTGCAAATCATGTTCAGCCCAGCATGATGGAATCCTCCAGATGTCTGATGGAAAGTGGTTCCTTGCTGATACCAGTATGCTTGCAACATCCTCACCCACTATCTGTGGTGAAAGGGAACATTTTCCCAGAGGTGATTTCTGCCTGTGTCCTTAAGAACAGTAGACATGAAAGCTCTGTGCGCTGAAAGTGTTACATTTGGACTCTTTCTTCCAAGGATTATCCTGCTTTGAAACTCTCTGTGACCTTTTCTACTTCTCATAGTCTATCTGTTTGAATTAGGATGAATTGATGTACATACTCATACCTATCCCTGATTTAAGCTCATTAAATCTTATACTTTGATCATATTGCTCCATAGCATTGTGCTGTTCCACAACACACCCGTGATGCCTTTGTAACATGGTGCTTCTTGCACATTTATAAGTTGATAATTAGGATGGGGGAAGACCTGCAGTTTCCTATTCCCTTTCAAGTAAGAGAAGAAAAGGTTTTAAAAGAGAAAGTATCTGTGGTTAAAACTTTCTAAAAGAATTTTGTTTTGGCAGCTGCATGAATTATGCTTTAATGTGCTTCTGTGTTTTTGCAAGTATATAATAAATGATAGCGTGTGAGCTATGTATTTTAAGTATTACCATGGATCTTCATCTGGGTGTCAGACTGCTCACAGTGATACTGATACTGAGGCCACTTGATCTATGCTGCCTCTTGATGTGGCTGTACTGTGAAGACTTTGAGGACCACTGCATTCTGTTGTTTAACGATATAATCTACAATACAGATTTTGTAGATGAAATATATTGAATATTCACTGTGAAGCTTGACTGTGGTAATTAGTAAAGAAGACTGGTATTTGGCAAAATGAATTGTGCATCAGTGCATCGGTGTATAAAATGTTCACTTTTTTGTCTGTTGTACAAGATATTAGAGTGCTTAGTCATAAACTGGGAGGATGGAGGCTAATAGAAAGTTAGAAATTAAGATCTTGATCATTTTTCAATTTCACCAGACCAGAATTTGAATTTGACCAGAATTCAATTTTCAGAGCTTTCACAGAGGGACATACGTATATTCACCTTACACACAGGAGGTGTAACAAGGATAGATGTGGTGAGTGATAGGTGCTGAGACTTTATGGATAGCGAGTTAAATGGTGGGAGAGTGAAAACTAAAAGGAAAAATTCTTGTTCAGCATTTGTGAAGAAAAAGCAAGAGTAATTTACGGTTGATATTATCTTTCTTCAGCTATAATCTCTTTATCAGAGATTAGCAAACCTACACTTATCTCCTAGATGAGACAGTGTTAAAAAGTGTCATACTTCCAAAATCAACAAAATCTTGAGGTCATAGGTCAAATTTCAATAATTAACATGTAACCCTGTATAAATAATGCCAAGTTTTGACATGGATCTGCCATCACTGGCAAAAGGTACCACTAATACTTCTATATTTTGATATTCTTGCGCTCATTCATTTCAGGTTCTTGGCTCAGGTTTTGCTTTAGAAGGAGCCGATACTTTTGAAGTCCACTTTTAAGTGAGAACAAAGAAATAAGCACAGTACTGATGATGATGATGTATTCATTTCTCCTTTTTGTAGAGCATGCAGATTTACTGGGACCTTGCCCTGAAGATGAAGCCATCAGCCCTGGGGATGAGTGTATGGATGCAGTTCTAGATGAATCGCTTCTCGAAACCTGTCCCATTCAGTCTCCACTGCAAGTATTTGCAGGCATGGGTGGATTGGCTCTTATTGCAGAGAGGCTCCCTATGCTTTACCCTGATGTAATTCAGCAAGTGAGTGAAAAAATTAGTGTCAGAAAATGTGCTGAGAGTATTTTGTTTCTTTATGGACGGTATTTTCCATATATTGCTATATGGTTCAGTTTAACATCTCAGTTATTTTAAAGCAGCTTCCCCACATAGGTGAGAGCCTAATTCCACAGCCCAGTGCAGCTGTACATGCTGCTTCCCTGCACCTGTCCTAGGCTGCTTGAGTAGCCATGTCTCTGTGGGACAAATGCATGAGTTCAGTGTTGCTGCTCACCTTGGTCCTGTTAACTCATAAAATAACTTGGAGGATGCAGTAACATCAGGTCACTGATGTACTAGAAAGGCATATTGCTTATCATTTAGTTGCTCAGCTAAATGTATGCTCAGAGAGGTTTTTATGGTTAAGTGAAATACAGTTCTATGTCTCTATTATGTCACTTTATTTTAGATTTATGACTAT